GGACCCCCGAAACAGCCTCTGAGCTTTCGCAATTTCACACCAAGGAGTCTCATCTTTGTGTGTGTCGTAGTCTCACCTCCTTATGTCGCTAGCTTCTTCGACTTTGCTTCGCAGGATGGACAATGGATTAAGATGAAGAGGCACAAGTCAACAGCGGCACGTCCAAGCCCTGCCCTTGGTTGTTCCAGAAGCAGGTGTTCACCATAATTGAAGTTCAATCTCATGTCAGTGCTGGCAGGTTCTGCTAAAGTTTGGGCTTTTGCTTCCTTGCAGTCTAGTTTTGAGGACAGATTGAAATGGCTTCGCGGTGCCTGCCAATAAGCCACCGTAGGTCGATTGCTGGCGATATCTCGAGGGCTGCCTTCCGGCTTCAGAAACGGGTTTATGCAGGCTCCGTGCTTTGTCAGGCTTATTTGCAGCACGTGCTGGCGCATAGTGTGTGCTACAGTATCTGTTGTAGGCTGCCAATTTTGTTGAGGTCAAGCACGCTCACGTTCCCAAGCCCCGAGAGCAAGCTGGAGCCTCAGGCATGCAGTCCTTTGTGGCTAAAGCTCTGGCAATGTTGGCAAAGTCAGTGAAAACACCGCCTGTCCCTATACCGCTTCAGCGTCTTCGGCGCTTCTGCAGATACGGCCCGTCTCGCGAACTACGCAGTGCTTGCTAGGCCGGTAAGGCTTCAAGCTCTAAACAATCAGTTCATTTAATATTTCGTTTCCCGCTGAAGGCAGTACATGAGTTCTGCATTTTCACACACAGGACCCCACCATGGTTCCGTGTCGCCATGTTAGCAGTCCCTCCCCGCTATCCTTAAACCCAAAACCCTCACGCAAAGCTAAACCCCTTACCCGAAACCCTAAAACCCTGAACCCGAAAACCTGCAACCCTAAAAACACCCAAACAACCTTAAAACCCGTAAAAACCTTACGCAAAACCCACAAAACCTTGAAACCCCAAGCCTTTAAACCCTCAAGCCGAAACCCGAAACTTTAAACCCTAAAAGCCTGTTGCTACATCCTAAATCCTGAACCCCCCCCCACCCCAACCACAGGGGGGAACCACGGGGGGCCGGATACCTTGGGGGAGGGTGGGAGGATATATACGCGCCCCCCCCTCCCCCCCAAGATCCACCCCGAAGCGCGCTGTTTTGGTCCGCCTGAGGGCAGAGCTCCGTTTGTTTGAAAACCTCATCCTACATGACATGAACGCCTAATTGAGAGAGATGCAGTCCGATTTGAGGGCACTGACCATGTTTTCGATGCGGAAAGGGTAGAAGTTAAATCGAGCTAGAGTCCGAGCCTGGGCCAGAGCACCTGACTTTTATAGAGCTCCCGCCGAAATAGAGCTCTAAAGGAAGCATCGTTAATTGAGTTTTTTTTTTCTCCGAATATGGGATGGGATGATAGAGGCCTTATGGTGATGGAACCCGGTTCAAGTGAGTTCAAGCTGAGAAGAACCTTAGCAGAGATGGGGTTCCAGTGGTTGAGTGGCATGGAACCCCATTCAATGTGGAGTCAGACTGTGAATCAAAGCCTAAGCTTTGAACGAAGAGTGGGAAAAAAACGAAACATAGTCATTCTTGCAATAGACATCTAACTCAGACAAATGTTTTGTGAGGACGTTGAGCTCTAGTTGACAACATTTTCAGGTGGGACCCTCATGCAGCAAGAACAGGAGAGTCCCAACGCACCTGTCCCTACTGTCTGGGCTCAGGCAAGTCAAAGGAAAAGCGGGGTTTATGGCCCTCAGCCCTAAGCCCTAAACCCTAAACTCTAAACCCTACACCCTACACCCTACACCCTAAACCCTAAACCCTAAACCCTAAACCCTAAACCCTAAACCCTAAACCCTAAACCCTAAACCCTAAACCCTAAACCCTAAACCCCATGCCCTAAAGAGCACGGCGCTTCTGCAGTCTGGAGAAGCCCAAATGCTGTAACCATAGGGGGGCGGGGGAACTGGAGGGCCGATGGTGCAAAAAGACTTCAGGGCCACATGGGGGGGGCTTGAATGATTGTTTGGAATCCTTCAGGGCCGACATGTGGGGCCTGAATGCTTTGGAATCCTTCAGGGCCTAGGAACCCTTCAGGGCCCGCATGGGGGGCCTGAATGATTTTTTGGAATCCTTCAGGGCCCACATGGGGGGCCTGAATGATTCTTTAGAACCCTTCAGCACCCACATGGGCCTGAATGATGCTTTGGACTCCTTCAGGGCCCACATGGGCGGCCCTGAATGATTTTTTGGAATCCTTCAGGGCCCGCATGGGGGGCCTGAATGATTTTTTGGAATCCTTCAGGGCCGCATGGGGGGCCTGAATGATTTTTTGGAATCCTTCAGGGCCCACATGGCGGGCCTGAATGATTGTTTGGAATCCTTCAGCGCCTGGGGGGCCTGAATGACTTTCAGGGCCCACATGGGGGGCCTGAATGTTTTTTTTTGAACCCGCCAGGGCCCACATGGGTGGCTTGAATGATTTTTTGGAATCCTTCAGGGCCCACATGGGGGGCCTGAATGATTTTTTGGAATCTTTCAGGGCCCGCAGGAATCCTTCAGGGCCCACATGGGGGGCCTGAATGATTTTCTGGAATCCTTCATGGCTCACATGGGGTGGGGGTGCCTGAAGAATGTTTTGGAATCCTTCAGGGCCGGAGGGCCCACGTGCGCGACCTGAAGGATTTTTGGAGAGCGGCCGAGCGGCCGACGCCAGCGCCGCTGCGCACAGACCGGGCAAGGGGGGGTGTACCTTTTCATGGCTTCGTGATATTGTCTCTGTGTTATAAGTACACATTCGGGCTCATCCCGCCCGGAACCAACCCCAGTCGCAGTCGCACCGCAGCAACAAAGCAGCTAACGCAAATAGGCCCCCCCATGACGACCCTTCTTTCGCTTCTCTCTCTCTCTCTGTCTCTGTTCTGTCTCTCTCTGTATATATGTGCGTATATATCCATGTATTTAATACGTGAACAAGTGTGTCAATGTGATGTGGCGCAAAATAATCCCACGTCAGACCTTTCATGCCATGGCCTGAACTGAACATGCCGTAGGATGCGGGTTTCGGCTTGGTTAGGCCGGAGTCACACGCACTTCTTCGGAAAAGTCCTCAAGTTCTTGCCATGCCATACTGAACCCCAACTTTTTTGTCCGCATGAGGCTCATATGGAATTCCCCCCAGAGAGTGCAGATGTTTGTGCGTGCAAGAACCTATTTAGGTTTGCGGACGTGATGGGCGTAGAGCTCCCTTTCGTTTGAAACTTGCACGACATGGAAACCTAATTGAAAGAGATGCAGTCCTTCTTGAGGGAGCACGGACTAGAGTCCTTGCCTGGGCCAGAGCCCCTGACTTTTACCGAGCTCTAGCCGAAATAGAGCTTTAAATGAAACATAGATGAGGCAGACCCTTACTTGAGTTTTTCCGAATCGAGATGGGATGATAGAGGCATCATGGTAATGGAACCCTGCTTACGTCAGTTAAAACTGACAAGAACCTTAGCAGAAATGGGTTCCAGTGGTTGAGTGAAATCGAACCCCATTCAACGTGGAGTCAGGTAGAGAGTGAAAACGAAATATGGTCATTGTTGCAATAGGCATTTAGCTTAGACAAATGATTACTGACGACTGGAACCTAGTGAAGTTGAACTCTAGTTGGGCGACAAAATTGTTAGGTGGGACCCCAACGCAGCCAGAACAGGAGAGCCCGCTCAGGCAAGTCACAAAAAAGGCGACCTTCTTTCGGATCACACTTCCGATGGCTTGTGCTCGCATCTTTTCACCACCCGACGAGGCGCATTTGGTTTCCTTCTTTCTCTCTTTCATTCTATACATATATATCTGTGTGTGTGTGCAAATTATTATTTCTAATATGCGAACAAGTTCGTTGATGTGGTGTGGCACAAAATAATCAAATGTCAGAACTTCCATGCTGTGGCCTGAACATGCCGTAGGATTCGCTCTTGGCTTGGTTAGGCCGGAGTCACACGCACTTCTTCGGAAAAGTCCTCAAATTCTTGCCATCGATTTGAATGGCCTCTTTTATGGGTACCATCGTTATTCCGAGATCTGAGTGGTTTGAAGTGCCTGGTGGATTTGTGTAAAGTGGTCCTAGCCCTGGCAACTGCATGTTATGTTGCGGTTGCGCATTTCCGCTGAGGTTGGTTTTGGGTCATCCGCTGATCGCTGGGCTCCAGTTGCGCACCGGTCACCAGGATGTCATGCTGTCAGGGAGTGCGCGGCTTGCATCGTCTTTTCAGCCTTTTTAAAAGCATACCCAGTGTCAAACAAGAGTCTCACAAGGACCTGCCGCATACCACTTGCGCCGCCTGTTTGACGCCACCTTAGTGGACACCTCCGCCCTTTTGGCAAGATCCTAAACCGCGAGCCCAACCACATTGAACCCTAAGGAAACTCGGAACATGCATCCTGCACCCGAAGACGTTCCGGCGCCCATCGAGGCGAGAACACATGTGCAGGCTGTCTTACGCTCTTGTTCTGCAGACAAGCCCAAAGAGACTCGCAAGAGACTTCGCGCGTCGTAGCCAGCTGCAGGGCTTGCAGCCGCTGCAGCCCGTTGAGCTTCCCGGGGGGAAGGCAGGCCGTTGAAATGCTGGCTTGTGAGTTTTTGTTGAATACTTGATGCGACGCATTGACTACTTGATGCGACGCATAGTGGCAAGGACATTTGGCATTTAGGGTTGCGAAGGGTGCCCTGAGGTATTGCACTGCGTTTTGTTGCTTTAACCTTAAACCCTCAACCCCAAACCCCGAACCCCCTGCTCGCGTGATGTGCTGGTTCTCAGTGCGGTCGCGGGGAGGGACAGCAGGTGGGGTTGGGGGTGGGGGGTGGGGGGGGTGAGGGCAGTGCACAGGTTCTCCAGCCGTGCGTGGTGTGAACAAACATTTTTCAGGGATCGGCGAAAGAAACCCAACCCCGCTCCCCCATCAAAGCAAGCTTGCAGTTGGCGCTGCGCGCGGCTATGCGCCCAATGCCTCCAATCAGATCACCAGCATGGCGCCCATCGCCGATCGGGGTCTGTTGGGCTGGAAGGTGGATGTCGTTGGCGTCGTTGACACCTGCCCAAACCCATCGTATCTCAGCTTGACTGGATGCTCGAGTGGTGTGGTCGGTGCTTCACTTGCATACCACTATGGACAGGTGCTTGGCATACCAGCTCAAGCACGTCACGGGCCAAGTTGCATCTTTGCTTGGCACATGGTGGTGACAGCGCGCGTAAGCTGTCCGGTTTGTGGCACTGGCTCCATTGTGTCAGGATACTGTTCACGGTGAGTTCAAGCACGATGTCTGCTCAAGCCAACACGAGCTGATCGTGAACGGCCACAAGATCAAGCGCTTCCGCTCAGGGGAAATAGGCTGAAGTAGGCAAGCTGTGGACCATGCATGCGCACATAACCCCCAGGCGCACACGCGTCTGCACACGCGCATGTGCGCATATGACGCGCGCTTGCGAGCACGTACCCGTACCACCACATACCACCACAAAACACGCGCGTTCCCACACTGTTCTTGGGTTCGTTCCGTGAAAGTTTCGGGTTTTGAAGTTATCGGGTCTGCGGCGCTAGCGGGGTCGTGAGGCATCGGTTGGTGGTGTCTGCGAGGTCGACAGGCCCCCAAAGCATGCCAACCCTGTAACCAGCCCCCGCAAGAACCCAAGAACCCTGGATAGTTTCTTCCGTTGTTCTTGTTGCGGCTTCGATGCGGTTTTTCCTCAACGTGGTAGGGTTGTGGCAGTTGCGTGGTTTACTCTTTCGATGTTGTTCTTCTTGCGGTTTCTCAGGAGAAGGATCTCGGTAGAACGCAGTTGTAAACCGTTTCAGGGCTTGGGCCTCTGACGACCTGCTGGAGTTCCCGCTCATGTCGAGTCCTCGCCGCAAAGAGGTACGCAACGCACAAATCTGAGTGAGCTTTCAGAATGTGGGTTTAGTTGAAGGTGTGTGAGAGCGTTTGGTTCAGGTGCGGCTGGGGAAGCTCGGCTTTGGGTTCATGAAGCTAACCAGTCACTGGTTTTATAATCGACCGCCCCCAACACATACCTGCGAAGCCCTGCTTTGCAATCTCTTCGCAGTTGCCCAACTGAAGCTCAGGTAAGTTGAGGTTAGGGGTTTGGGAATATGAAGGTTAGATTGAACTCAGTACTCAGGTTTGCTCGGAAGGTTTATGCCAGCGCCTCGCAGAGCAGGAGTTCTGAAACTCGCCAGGCGCAGAACCTGGCGGAGCAATACCCCGGGGTCAAGGTTAAGTCCTTTGGATTTGGCCCGGATCGCTGCTTGGGCACTTATAGCTTCAGTCGTTTGTGTGGCCCCGTGCATTCACGTGTTTTGGCATTGCTTGGCTTTTTTGTTAGGCCTTACAGCCTCCCTAGCCAATGCATAATCGCCAATACTGTTTCAGTAGAAATTTCTACGGAAATTGCACGATTTTTTGGTACCAACTTTAAATAGAGCCACATAAGGCAAGCCGAGCACCTGTTTATGAACGCTATAATTTTGCAAGATCACACAAACAATGCATAGAGCCAAAAAAGAAGACGCAGAGCATATTGAGAACAGCAAAAACGGAAAAGTGTGATTTGGGCTTTTTCTTTTTATATAAGGAGGAAACCTGGAGTTTAGCAGCGTGTCTGCTGATTCCAGGACCTCCTGATTTTGAGGCGCTCGGAACATGTAGACGCGGCCCTGGGGTTTCTGCAGCGACTCTGCAGATCTTCAGGGCCCTTTTGGCGACCTGTGTCGCGCGGAAGCCTCGGGAGTAGTCACGTAGTCGACATCTGATGACGATGGAGATCATGTATCCTTTGTTCTTTTCAAGTTTGCTGTTTCGAAGCAGCAGTGATAGACCCTTTTGCAGCACTCCGTTTGAGGAAACAATGTTTGTTTATAGTTTGGCGAATTTGGCGTAATCCATCAGGGGCAGCGGTCCGTGTCGACTGTGAACCTCCAAATAAATGCAAGGGCGAATCAGCGTGCTCCGGAAGAAGCCCGACTCCTTCGAGCCGCGACGGCACGCTGCGCGTGAGCGGGCGTCCACAAGTCGCAGTCTAGTTGATTGGAAGTGACCCAAGGTTTCTGAGGCTGCGCCAGCCAAGACACTGGGCTTGCTGAGAGGTGGGTGCTAGCTTGACGACAAAGTTTCACTACAGTGTCATGCGTGGGAGAGTATATTCGGGCAAAGTTCCCGAAGAACAAGCCGCTGCCCTGACTTGTCGAGCACATAGCATGCGATTTTCAAGGCTGCTATCGACAAGCTATACCGGTTTCTAATGATGAATGTGCCGTGGACCACTGGCTGGTTTGCCTTGGCCTCAAAGCTAATCTTCAAGGCTTAGCGAAACGCAGCCAGATTCAGCGCCACTATGGCCGAGACACGCCAAGTGGTTTCGGCAAGGGGGCTTTGCAATCTTCGTGGCCAAAGAGCCGTTCTGGATCGAGAAGCTGCCTCAGAGCATCATGAAAACTTTTCCGCATCGACCCATTTCACGTCTTGTTGAAAGGAGCACTTGGAGACCTAGTCGCGAACGTGTAAAATTTTGGGAACCTATTCTGTGTCTCTCTCTCTCTCTCTCTCTCTCTCTCTCTCTCTCTCTCTCGTGTGTGTGTGTGTGTGTGTGTGTGTGTGTGTGTGTGTGTGTGTGTGTGTGTGTGTGTGTGTGTGTGTGTGTGTGTGTGTGTGTGTGTGTGTGTGTGTGTGTGTGTGGTGTGTGTGTGTGTGTGGTGTGTGTGTGGTGTGTGTGTGTGTGTGTGTGTGTGTGTGGATGGGTGGGTGGGTGGGTGTGTGTGTGTGTGTGTGTGTTGCAGTCGTTGCTCGCCGCAGTAGTACAGAAGCCGCCGCTGATGCCGGTCGCGATCCTAGCTTAAGGGAAAGAACGAGTGTAAATAACAGAATCTGCGCATGTATATACAGTGCCCCGAATGCTTGCTGGAGTCTGCTGCCAAGAGTGCACTGCGATACATTGCGCCCATAAGGCCATGTCTGTTAGCCGAGAGGCATTGCCCCGAAACTGCCGATTGCCGGAGAGGCAACCGGGGTTGAAGGTCTAGGGCCCAGGGCCCGTCTCCACCTCCTGAGTCATCAAGCTGGATTCTTCTTTTGGGGCCCCTTTCTGACACTCAGCCATAGCACTTCCATCACCTTAGCTGCATGATCGCGGGCATGCGTAGGGTTTCGTGTTGCAAGTAGCTAATTACGAGCAGGACAGCAAGTACCAAACAAAGGCTGTGAATGTTACAAATGATGCTAACCCCTCCCAACTATCTTCCATGAACCTCCAAGTAGAGTCATGGCCGGCGCCGATTTCCGCTCGGGATCAGGCTGATTTAAAACTGGTAGAAACAGAGCCTGCGCAGGTACATATGGCGTGCACGCTTCAAGCTATCGCAATTGCAGTTCGTAGGTACACACCGCGGCAACCTGATGCGATGCAAGTTGTTTTGAGCAGGTCGTTTGTACAGGTTTGAGCTGGAAGGATCACCCAATGTCCCCTGCCCGCGCCATGTAGCCGTGCTTTCTTCAGAGCCATACGACTCCGGATGCGTCGATGTGCTGTGCAACTTGCAGTTACCAGTAGCAAGAGGATCAAGGTCGAGCTCGGCCTTGCTGAAGACGCCTTTGTGCACAGCCGCGCCGTTGACTCTGAGCCTAGCGAGCTTTCAAGTGCGGAGGGGACAAACGAAGCGAGTCAGAATGGTGGCTCTTCTTCTTGCGAGTCTGCTGTCAAGCAAGAGGCTGAGTGTCAAGCAGGAGGCTGAGGCTGTCAAGCAAGAGGCTGGGGCAACCGAGGCGGACCCAGGCAACGATGAGGCGGGCGATTGCCTGAAGGAGGATCTGGGTGTAGCTGATTACTACACTGAGGAAGCATGGTGGGATGGTGACGCAAGTGACGCCAAGCAAGAGCTGGATGCGACGGGAGAAACCAACGACCACCATCCGTCATGGTGAAGCCCGAGCGTACCTCTAGGTTTTTTCGGCGTTTATACATGGACACGTGATGGTGCCGTAATGGACATAATGAGGCCGCGCAAGCGGCAACTTATGTGGGTGATTCGTTTTTTTTTTTTTTTTTTTTTTCGGGTTGGGTGCTTTGGGGAGTGGGAAGCAACCTGCAACCCACCCGCCAAACCTCCCCTCCCTGAAGGATCTGGGCGTAGCTGGTTACACTGAGGAAGCATGGCGCTGCGATGCAAGGGAAGTCAAGCCAGAGCTGGATGCAAACGAAGAAGCCGAGGACAACCGTCCCAATTGTGAAACCCGAGTCTACCTATGTATACAGCTTATATAGATACTGATACACACATACACACATACGATCATATTTTGCTATACTATTTTATGGTGTATTGCGCTATGTGGTATGATATGATATGATATGATATGATATGATATTCCATTGCAGTGCATTGTATGACTATTATCTCATCTTAAAGTTCTGGCTTCCTCCGGTGCCTGGAGAAACAATGAATCCCGTGCCGCATTTGCTGGCCGAAGCGGGCCGAAGAGATGGGAAGCTGCTCCTTTCTCATGGGGCCTAAACCCTAAACCCTAAACCATAAGCCCTAAGCCCTAACCCTAAACC